TGAAACTAATTGACATTTCATTGAATTTTTAGGGAAAAAATGAGACAATCATATGTACAATATTAATTCTCATTCAAGTATATTGTCTATTTTCTTATTCACACCTGTTTCTTTTAGCAAAATGTTAGCTTTATTCATACTACCTTGCATATTCTTTTTTTTTTTGGCACCAGGGATTGAACACAGGACCTTGCGCTTGCGAGACAGGCAGTGGCACCACTGAGCTAAATCCCAGCCTACCTTGCATATTCTTTCTTTCTTTTTTTTTTTTTGGTACCGGGGATTGAACTCGGGTCCTTGTGCTTGCAAGGCAGGCGGCGAAACCACTGAGCTAAATCCCTGGCCACCTTGCATATTCTTATTAAATGTACATCTGGGTAATTGCACATCTGGCTAATTTGTATCCACTGCATTTTTTTTTTTTTTCTTTTTGGTACTGGGGATTGAACTCGGGTCCTTGCGCTTGCGGGGCAGGCAGTGGCACCACTGAGTCAAATCCCCGGCCCTCTACAGACTTTTTTTTGAGACAGGGTCTCGCTACATAGTTCAGGCTGACCTTGAACTCACTATGTAGCCCAGGTAGCCTCGAACTTGCAGTGATTCTCCTGCCTCAGCCTCCCCAGTACTGGGATTGCAGGTGTGCACCACCACGTCTAGTCTACAGAGGCTTTTAAAATTTTAATTGTATCAAATACATCTTAAAGATATATTTTCCTTTGACCTATAAAACACCCAGTGTAGACACCACAATGAATTATTCTCTTAATACATTGCTGGCCTTCAGTTACTAAGTTTTAGTAGGGTTTCCACCCACGTATGTGAGAACAGTCAACTTTGCTCTGGTGGTGCTGAGGAGCACACCCAGGGCCGTACACACACTAAGCACAGGCTGTCCCCGAGCTACCGCCCTCACCAGGCCCCCACATTTGTTTTTTATAGCATTCGTTTAGGTAGCAGAAATGTAACAGTCCTTTCTTTTTTTTTTTCAAATGGTAGTTTTGTTTTTCCAGTTCCAAGAATCGAACTCAGGACCTTGTGCTTGCCAAGCAGGCGCAGCGCCGCTGAGCTACATCCCTGGCCCAGAAATATAACAGTCTTGAATGAGTTTGGAAATGTGTTATTCTCTCCTCCTTTCCCAATATTCTGGAACAGCTTAAATAACACAGGAGGTGGGCATGGGGGCATAGGCCTATAATCCTAGCACTCCGGGAGGCTGAAGCAGGAGGATCACAAGTTTGAGCCCAGCCTGGGCAATTTTAAGGGCTGCCATTGTAGCTTAGTGCAATCTTCAGGATAGGCAGGGAGGAAGGGAAGGAAAAAAGTTATTATTCCTTGAAATCTGGCAGCATGTTAAAGCCAGGTGCAACGAGTGGCACGCATCTGTAAGCTGAACTACTCAGGAAGCCGAGGAAAAGGATTATGAGTTCAAGCACAGCGTGGGCAATTTAGCAAGACCAAAATTTTATCTCAAAATTTAACAGGGGGAGGGGGAGCACTGGGGATACAAGTCAGTACAAAGGTTCTGGGTTCAATTTCTAGTACCACAGGAATAAAAAAGAAATTTGGCAGAATGTATATTGCAAGATTGCATAGGTATTTACAGAGGTCATTTTTCAATAGCCTTAGTCTCATGAGTATCAATTGTGTAAGGATTTATGCTTTGTTTTTGGAAATTTAAAAATTTTAAGGAATTGGGGGTGCAGCTCAGTGGCAGATTGCTTGCCCAGCACATGCATGGCCCTGGGTTCCATCCCCAATACCACAAAAGAAAAAAATGTTTTTTCAGAAAAGCAAGTTCATTAGAATCACCATATCAAGTTTTTCTACAAATGAAATTTCAGAAGTTTTATGACCCCAGCCGTCTACATACACACTAGTTTTTCTTTCTCTTCAAAAACAAGCAATCTACACATCATCTCTGAAGATGCTCACATACAAGCAGAACAGGAAGGAGAGCGTTGCAGGCTGGCCAGGAAATCCCTCTGCTCAAGTCACAGCTGTGAGTACCTTTACGACTGCACAGCATAGGGTTGTACAAGCATTCTTGTAGAAAGGGTCACTGGCTGGTGCATGGAGGACAGACCAAGTGGGCAGGCACAAAAGCAGGCAGGAGCTCGAGGCTCTTCTGGTTGAGACCCCTGGTGCCCCCCATCCCAATACTGGGGACCAAACCCAGGGCTTTCACCCTAATCTAGATCCCTAGCCCTTTTTCTTTTTTTCTTTTCCTTTCTTTCCTCTTTCAACAGGATCTAAATTGTTAAACTACACAGGTTGGGCTCAAATTTGAAAGCCTTCTGCCTCAGTCTCCAAGTGGTTGGCAGTATAGGTGTGCATCACCATGCCTGGCCCCACCACCGGTGGCTTTGACCAGAGTGGTAGTAAGGTGACAAGAACTGGTTGGAGTTTGAAAACATCTTGATGCTAAATCCAAGAGACCCTGCATGTGGAATGTACTTTCATCAGTGAGATCACATGACATGCAGAGTCTCTACCAAGTGCACCTCTGGTTGAAAGTCAGTGCATGGACTTCAAGTTCTACAAGGGCCACTGCTTTCCTGTCTGTATAACCCATCACACTAGGCATAGTGCTTTGCAAAGTTGTTGAAATTCATGTGGGTGTTTAATTATAAAAGATTTCTGGTTTCCATTATGATGAGATTGGTTACAAAACACATGGGGACATACTAGATATGAAATTAATATTTGATTTAGAACTTTCTTTTATTTGTGGTCCTCATGCTACAATACAACCCTTCAAAGTCAATCAAGAACATAATATTAGTATACTTCTTCAATATACTTAGAAACTTAAAATGACCCAGAGCCCCAGCTTCTAGACTTCTACAAGGCAGCTTCAATATCCAAAAGGGCACAATACAATGACTGTGGCATGAAATCCATCTCAATGCAAATTTAAGAAAAGCAAACTATAGAGTATTATCAGACCACCAAAACTCAGTGAGATACTGTTATTTAATACGCCTACCTCTTAACTCTCTAAACATGTAGTTTTCAAAAATATCAATGCATGCCGGGGATTTAGCTCAGTGGTTCCAGTGCCTGCCTCATAAGCGCAAGGTCCCGAGTTCAATCCCCGGTACCAAAAAAGCAAACAAAAAATATCAATGCATGATGAATGTCATTATACTATATACCTAAAATGTACCAATAAAATTAATTTAAAAAAAATCAATGCATCAGCTTCTACCTCAAACTAATTTAGATCATCATCTGTGGGGTATCTTTTTTTAAAAGCTTACCTAGCAATTCTACCATTAGCCAGTTAGTAGTCACTGCTCTAAATGAATCTCTTATGAAGGGAAGACATAAATAAATAGAAATGTATAAAAGCCCAGGGAGAAAGGTTTTAAAAAAAAGAAGAATCAGAAGGACTCACCCTTTGCTTTCTGACATCTTTTACTCTTGACCTCTTCTTGTAAGGTCCAAAGATCATTATTAGAATCTATGTCATAATCCTAGCAATTACACAGTTAAGAAAAAACAGGCCTTGGGGGAGAGGGGAACTCAGTGGTAGAGTGCTCGCCTAACATGCGTGAGGCCCTGGGCTGGATCCCCAGCACCACAAAAAACAAAACAACTAGCCAGGAAAAAAAGCCTGGAGAGATCTTTGTTAGTTGTCCACGATCACTTGATACAACAGTTTTGCCAATGTGGGGAGGCTGTCAGGTTTCAAGTATAAACCAATGCACAAATAATCGCAGGGGACCACAGGGAGACGGGGAGAACTTCTGGCTCAGGTCTCCTATGTCCCAGTCCAAAAAAAATAGGGGAAATGTTATCTGTGGGACAAGCATTCACACTCTAGAGGACAATTTCTTTCTTTTTGGTTGTGGGGATCAAACTCAGGACCTTGCGCTTGCGAGGCAGGCAGCAGAACCACTGAGCTAAATCCTTGGCTCTAGAGGACAATTTCATTTGAACCTATTAATTTCCTTTCCAATGAAAATTTAAAGGATAAAGTAACATAGGGGGAGACAAGAAGGGGAGGAAAAAAGAGTTAAGATGTGCTATGTATACATACCAGCTCCCCAGTGAATGTAATCATTATGTACTGTAAACATGTACTAATAAAAAAATAAAAAACCATAAAATGTGAGGCTTAACAAAGGAGAGATGGTTTTTGAGGAGAATTTATATCTTCCAGTTTTTACTGGCATTAACAGTCTTTTAGCCTGGAGCAATTCAAAGATGAATCGTGAAAAAGAAAAACTTTATTTCAGATAGGTTCAGTAGCATGTGTGCTAAAGGGAAGGCTGGTTTTAGAAGTTTCTTTTCAAAGTTGTATTTATGTATAAATTAGACCTGATTTGGAAATGCTAAAATGTAGATTCAGTCCAACATGATACCAACCTTTACATTTATGGTAGACCTCATATTAGTACTAGAGGTTAGATTTTCATCACCAAAAAATGAGAATAACCTTACAGCTACCTACTAAGGTAATAAGCTGTGAAATTAATTCCCTAGTATTGCTTTGAAAATATACCCCTAGGTTGTTCAGAGAAATTCCAACTCCATCCAGATGTATTATTTAACTGGGATTCTTCAGTCATCATCTATGGTTGGCTTGATTGTCACTCCTCTTCTTATCTGACCCCAACCAATTAAACTGCAAAATGAAAACAGAAGAAACCATGAATTTTACATCCACTTCGTTATCATCACTACACCACTGTATGATGGAACTGGTTTTACTTGCATCTTGTAAATTCACGTATGTCCCCAAAGCCTGCTCCTCCACAAAGAAAACATGCTATTTCCCCAGATTCTTAGAACCAGGCAAATGGGCTCTGCCAGCATGGCAGGAAAGGGAAACCAAAATTGCCACCATAAATGTCCTTATCTGTACTCTATCAAAACCTACCTACCCTTTTATTTTTTTTATTTTTTAATTTTTTCTACCTACCCTTTTAGATCCACCTAAGAGCCCTCAGTCCACATCAGTCTAACTGTTCTTTCTACCCTCTTCTATGTTCTAGGCAAAGGCCAGGCTGGACACTGCTACCTCAACTGGAGTTTCTAGAACAAAGGCCATCTAAACACGGGTAAGAACCACAATTCTACTGAATGTAAGGATTATTCAGATGCTCGCTGGTCTCTTTTTAGGACTTTAACATACTTGCTAGTTTTGAAGCAAAATCTGAAAGTTCATTTGGATAGAGTCCTCTTTTTTTTTTTTTTTTTTTGGTACTGGGGATTGAACTCGGGACCTTGTGCTTGTAAGGTAGAGTCCTCTTATAATATTCGTAGGCACACCAAAAAACATCCTTTCTCTTAAAATCGGTTCTACTCTATGAAATGTAGCAAACAAGTGATATTATTTGTATGTTGAGTTTTTTAGTTTATTTAGCCTATTTTAAAATACACTGGAAATCAGTATGTCTGTAATACAAATGGTACAAGCACAAAAGAATGAAATCAAATGGGCATAAAGTACCACAGAGCAAGCTTACTTAAAAAGTTTAACTCTTTCAAAACAAAGAGAGCCAAGAGTGACTGAAATAATTATGTGGAGAACCAGAATACAAGATAGAGATTTCCAGGGTATAGATGAGAAAAAGCAGGAGAGAAAGTAAGCAGGTGAAGCAGGCCTCCAGAAAGGTCCTGATTATCCAATGGGAGTGAGAAGCTACAAGAAATTATTCAGCACAGCATGATCAAAGTGTTTAGGAAGATTACTTTTTTTTTTGTTTGTTTTGTTTTTAAGGCTTATTGGGAATCAAACTCAGGGACTTGTGCTTGCTAGGCAGATGCTGCACCCCTGAGCTATATCCCTGGCCCCAGGAAGATTAATTTTGATTGAGCTTTTAAATAACAGAGTAAGATGAAGCAAGAGTCTTTTATGATAACCCTCAAGTGGGAAATGGTGGTGGTGGACTATGAGGTCACACGGAACAGAAAGGAAAGGGCAGATGCAACTTGAGAAAGAGCAACAGGAGGCAGAAACTACAGACACATTTGTATTTCCTACCTCTAGTCACTCAGAGGACCTAGAAGCAATAGCACCCAGGAGCAACGAGTACACCTAAGACACAGATCTTCATTTCTAGATAACATTTCCCAGTAAAGGGAACCAGTGCTCCTTAGAGAAATGAAGCAAGGAAGGTATGAGTCTGGAACATCCTGGGCCAGAAAACCAGGATGTGTTTAAAAAAAAAAAAAAAAAAAATGAAGACCTGTCAAAGGGACACATGAAGCAGCCTGAAACCTGCTTATCAAAATAAAAGGTAGGAGGGCCAGGGATTTAGCTCAGTGGTTCCGCTGCCTGCCTCGAAAGCGCAAGGTCCCGAGTTCGATCCCTGGTACCAAAAGAATAAAAATAAATAAATAAATAAATAAAAGGTAGGGCCTGGGATATAGCTTAGTGGCACCGTGCCTGCCTCGGAAGTGCAAGGTCCTGAGTCTGATCCCCAGTACCAATAAATAAATAAATAAATAAATAAATAAATAAAATAAAATAAAATAAAATAAAACCTGGGTGCTCGCTTCAGCAGCACACATACTAAAGTTGGAACAAAATAAAAGCAGGCATGGTACCAAACACCTGTAACCCCAGTACTTGGGAGGCTGAAGGAGGAGGATCACAATTTTGAATCCAGCCTGGGCTACATAGGGAGTTCCAGGCCAGCCTAGACCACAGAGTAAGAATCTGATTCAAAAATAAAGGGATGGGGATGTAGCTCAGTAGTAGAGTGCTTGCCTAGCATGCACTAGGGTCTGAGCTCAATCCCCAGTACTGATAAAAAACAAAAAGCCAGGGATTTAGCTCAGTGGTTCTGTCACCTGCCTCGAAAGCTCCAGGTCCCGAGTTTGATTCCCAGTACCAAAAAACAAACAAACAAAAAACCAAAAAACCATTGAGTTTCTGTTATAACTAGAGAGGTAAATAAATCATGGGGAATAAAGATGGCCAAATGATAAATGTGGAGTGGTACAGATGGCTGGCAGGGGGAGGGATGGATAGAATCACCATTTTGCAGGCAATATAGTCAAGTTCACTCCAGGCAAGACTTATCAATGGATGCCAAATCCAGGGGGTTGGGATGTGATGAGCAGCCTGGTATTTGCACAGGCTAAAGTCTCTCCACACAGCTAGGCGTAGTGGCGCACACCTGTAATTCCAGCAGTTGGGAGGCCAAGGCAGGAGAATCGCTGCAAGTTCCAGGCCAGCCTGGGCTACTGTGAGTTCAAGGCCAGCCTGAACTACACAGTGAGACCCTGTCTCAAAAAAACAAACAACAGGGCTGGGGATTTAGCTCAGTGATTTCACCTCCTGCTGCACAAGTCCAAGGACCCAAGTTCGATCCCCAGTACAAAAAAAAAAACAACAAAAAAAACCTAAAACAAACAACAAAAACAAAAAGTCTCTCTACAGACTTCTTAGTAGTTGCCAGGATGAAAAGAGTAATACACAGCATAGAAACTAGACAACATCTTGACCACATGATCAAAATTAACTTCAAGGCCAGAGATATTTAGCTCAGGGGTGCCACACCTAGCTGGAAAGTGCAAGGTCCTGAGTTCAATCCCCAGTACTGGAAAGTAAAATAGAAAACCAGGGCCGGGGATTTAGCTCAGTGGTTCTGCCACCTGCCTCACAACCACAAGGTCCCAAGTTTGAAGGTCCCAAGTTCGCAGGTCCCAAGTTTGATCCCCGTACCAAAACAAAAACAAAAACAAAAAAGAAAACCATACAATGTCATTTGCCAAGCATGGTGGCGCACGCCTAATCCCAATACTCAGGAGGCTGAGGCAGGAGGATCGCTGGGGGTTCAAGGCCAGCCTGAACTAATAGTGAGACCTTGTCTCAAAAAATCAAAACAAACAAAAATTAATTTCAACAAGGAAGAGCAGTAAGGCATCATGTGATCCCTGAGGAGCCAAGAATATGTAACCCAAACCTAACCTTAGCTTTTCAAACCATTAGATAAACATAAGTTTAGCAACAGTCTACAAAATAACTTGCATATATTCTTCAAAGTTGGCAAAGTCAATGGGCCGGGGATTTAGCCCAGTGGCAATGCGCCTGCCTTGCAAGCATAAGGTCCTGAGTTCGATCCCCAGTACCAAAAAAAAAACATTGGCAAGGTCAAGATTTTTTGGGGGGGTTGGGGTGGGAATGGGATAAAATAAAATTTATTTTTAAAAAAATTAGGAGGAAAAAAGATTTTTTTAAAAAAAGGCTGCAGAATGCATACTGAGGCCATCCTCTTAAGTGAAACAAACAGGACACACATGTGTAAATACTGAGTAGTTTCTCTGGTGTGAGAAACTGAAAGTGTAAATAAGGATTAAAATGATTACAATGAATAATTGATAATTTGAAATAGGAAGAAAAGGTCCAAAGGAGTAGGGAAATCGGGAGGGGAAGGGGAGAGGAAAGGAGGGAAAGGAAAAATTTTGAGAAAAGGAAAAAATGGAAACAAAGTCTTCATAAATAGGGAAGGGTGGAGGGAGTGAAGGGTGGACAGGTAATGGGGGAAAAAATAACCAAGATATATCATGTACAGGTACAAGTTCCCAATGATAAATGTAAACGTATCGTATACCTAAAATGTACCAATAAAAGAATTTAAGCAAAAAACAAAAAAAGCCAGGAGGAAAAAAAAAGGCTGCAGAAGTTCCAGATTAGAAATGAAAGAGACATGAAACTTAAATGCAACGCATGATTCTAGACTAGAGGGCCCTAAAAGGCTTCAGTGAGACAGATGGTAAAATTGGAATCTGAATGACAGATCTCAGGATTTTACCAATGTTACATTTCTTAAAGTGGCTATAAAAGAGAGTATCCCTGCTTTTTGGAGATATTCAGAAAAAGACTTCTATGTAAATAAATGTGGATATATGTACTTATCTGGGAAGAGCATATAGGAGTTTCTGTATAATTCTTGCAGTTTTCCTGTAAAGTATGAAATTATTAACAAATAAAAAGCTAAAAAAAAAAAGCTAAAAAAGGTCAAAGACAGCCTGGGAGTATAACTCAGTACTGAGCAAATTAAACATTTGCATGACCGAGGCCCCAAGTGTGATCCCCAGCAGCAAAAAGCAAGGTCAAGGAAATAGAAATACTGAGCCTAAATTTGTTGGTTGTGTCTAAGAGAAAAGGACACCAACTGCAGTATTTGGACTAAATTATGGGACTACACATGGAGGCTAAAAATAGTTCTTCTCCAAATAAATAGTTGAGAGCTGAAGCCACACTAACTGTTGTGTTCTGAGAAGCTTGTATACTTGTGTGTGTGTCACCAAGAACTTAGGCAAACTGACTCTTCCCAGAGTTCAGGGCTGATAAACTCACCGCCAGTGCTTCTCAACTCTTCGGCTAAGGGCAATTTTCTCTCCCACTTCTGTGCACACAGGATTGGTCAGAACAATTTTGCCCAAATCAGCCTTGACAGCACTAACTCTCCCTCCTGTTGACAGAGATCCTATGTTGACCATGAGCACTTCATTCTTGGACAGCTTTTGGACCTAGGGCAATGCATTAGGGAAAAACAAATCCCAAAATCAAGAAAATGCTTGCCAAAAATAAGTAGGAGTTCACCAAATACTTGTGGGAATAAGTCAACAATAATGGAAAAAACATTCTATAAAATTCATTATAAGATGTGAACCATACATAGAGCCTAAAGGTGGTAAACAGGTTTACTTGGCATTCACTGATTTTATACAATCTCTGCCTTTAAAAAGAAATAAGCCAGTAACCACAGCATAAAACCTCTTAAACTTCTGAAGAAGCTATATACAGGTTCAGTGGCCCTTATTGGGAATACTTGGAAACAGAAGTGTTTAGGATTTTTCTAGATTCTGAAATATTTGTATATATATGAGATGTCTTGGGATGGAACCAAAGTCTAAATACAAAACCTACTTACATTTTCTTTTCTATTTTGTTTTTTGAGTCAGGGTCTCATTATGTAGTTCAGGCTGGCCTTGAACTCAGAGATCTTCCTCAGTGCTGGGATTACAGGTGTGCGCCACCACAGCTGGCTCACTTATGTTTTCTATGCATTTCATATACCTAGCCCGAAAATAATCTTATCACTTTCAGTACACCTGTGTTTTGACTGTTACTGTCACATGAGGTCAGGGTGGAACTTTCCACTTGGCGCATCATGTTGGTACTCCAAAAAGTTTGGATTTTGGAGCATTTTGGGCCTTAGGAATTGAGCATGCTTAACTGACCAGTTGCAGGGGTACATGTCTATAATCCCAGCTACTCAAGAGGCTGAGGATCCTGAGGTCAAGCCCAGCCTGGGCAACTTATGGGAACTGCATCTCAAAGTAAAAAATAAAAGGACTGGGGACGTAGCTCAATGCAAAGGCTGTGGATTCAAAGAGGGATACTCAACCTGCAGTAGAAATGAGGCACAAAACTTCCCACAAGGAAGGATGGCTGTCTAGGAGTTAATAAGGTGGTGCTGGGGTTCCAGTCCACCCTGTACCTAAGTCGGTTTCTGGAACTCCCCGACCCACTGTCAAATAGGCACCTGCCATACATGGTTGTTTCAAAGATTAAATGAATTTTCAGCTTCGATTCCCATTATTGGTGTTTTGCCTACTTAAAGCCCAATGCCCAAATTTAGATCACTGTTTCAATGGTTTCTTATTCATTTACTTGACTAGTTTATCTTAGTTTGTTGAAAAGAAAGTTTTAAAAAAAATATTTTTTCAGTAAAACATTTACTGGCACATTTTAGATATACATAATGATAACATTCATTATAGGGAATTTGCACCAGTACATGATACATCTTGTTTCTTTTTTTTCCCCACTCCCCCCTCCTTTATGTACAAAAGCTTTGTTTCCATTTTTTTTTACTTTTTTTTTCTTGTCCTTTCTCCCTCCCTCCTCCCTTGTTCCCCCTTCTCATTTGAACATGTGAAAAGAACGTTTTGTATTATTATGTTTCTTTTTTCTAAGAATCTTTTTGGTTTAAGTCTTGTACTCTGAATAACTACTTTGAAGATAACTGTACACAGTGTAATAAGTATAGTTATTCTTATTTGATAATGAAATTTTATTTTTTCATTAAAAAGTCTGATGAGGGGCCGGGGATTTAGCTCAGTGGTTCTGGCGCCTGCCTCGCAAGCGCAAGGTCCCAAGTTCGATCCTGGGTACCAAAAAAAAAAAGTCTGATGAGACAAAAATAGTCTGTAATAAAGGAATTCTGAAAAACATGATAAACTTGGAATTTTACAGGCATGGATAACAGTCAAAATGTTTTATTACTTTCTCATAACTTTTCATGTTATTTGTCCCGAGTGAAGTATGCTGGAGTGTTCGTAAATTTAAAACGTTGATAAATATTAACTTTATCTTAACAAGTACTACCAGCCAGACGTGGTACTGCACATCTGTAACCCCAGTACTTGAGAGGCTGAGGCAGGAGGATCACTGCAAGCTGGAGGCCAGCCTGGAATATACAGTCAGTTCAAAGCCAGCCTGAAGTACAAAGGGAGACTCCACTCACAAAAACAAGTACTACCAATCTACACTTTCCCGAGAAGAGTGACTGCTTATTTCCCATGTCCTTGTCAACATTAGGGGTCAGCAATTTTTCAATCTCTACCAACAATCTTCCTAAAACACTTTTTCAAAAAGCCCACACGGCCTTTAATCCCAGCACTCGGGAGACTGAGGCAGAAGAATCATGAGTTTGAGGCCAGCATGGACTACCTAGTGAGACCTTGTCTCAAAAAAAAAAAAAAAAAAGTTTTTTAAAATACTTTCCCTGTTCTTGTGTTTTGTTTTGACCTTAAACCAACTGCCATACTGTTGTTCTCAATTTTTAGGACGTCAAACTGATTTATCTTAATTCCATGTTAAGTATAAAAGATTAGAACTCAAAACTGGTTTTAGTATCACTTTTTCTCATTTATTTGGAAACAGGAATTATAAAAAGCACTCACCTTTGCTGCTTTCTTGTCACCTTCAGTGCGTACACCTAGAAGCCGTCTAAGTAGGAAATAGGAAATTTCTAGTTCTGTGAATATCTCAGGTAAAGCTCCAACTGCACCAAGCACCTGCCCCACCATTCTGTCAGCCCGGCACAAGGTGGGGTCGATTTTTGTTCCAACTCCTACGTAAGACAAAAATGTAGATAGTCTAATTCTTATTTCCTAAAACACCTATGAAATGAGTATTTGCTCAAAAGCTTAATCAAAGAAGCATAGCAAAATCTATACATTTTAGTACATACTTCCATTTTCATACCCATATAACAGTTACAGGAGCATAACAAAACACCCATTTTATCTGATGGAAGAGAATTGTAAATTCAACAGGTTCGTTGGGCAAATGAGAACAGTCTCTTCATTTAAATTCTAAACAAATAGCAAATACAGATAATAATCTAAATATCCTCAATGAAGGTTGAAGATACAAAAATTCACAATGAGCAGCCTGCAGAATATCTGCATGCCATTTCCCTCCTGCCAGGCTGATCACAAAGACAGCTTAAAGACCCCACACCCGATTCCTGGGATCCACTTAGAAATAATGTGTCTTGGTAGGAGAAAAGGGGCTAAGATATATAGACAGGAATTGGTTAAATAGTGATAACTGCTGAAGCTGAGTGTTGCTACATAAAGGCTATCGTTAACAGTATTCTCTATTTTCTACTGTTAAGTTTGAAAAGTTCCTAAGTTAAATTCGAAAAACTGTTTCTGAAGTTTCCCTGTTTACAAAAAAAGATAAAATTGTATACAGTAAATTCTTAATTACAGGATAGAATGGTAAAGTTGTGTAACAGAAGAGTTGTATAGCCAAAACCCAGAGAACAAACTTGTTTGATGAAGAATAAAATGGTCACCAAACATTTTCATCTTTAATCCAAAGGCACAATACCTCTAATTCTCAATGAATCTCAGTATCTGATGATATACTAAGTTGTAAAAAACAAAAAACTAGAAAAGGCTTAAATTATTTTAGTAATTTCTATATAGTAGAGGTTATCTTTCCCCTTTTTTTTTGTATTTAAGATAGGATGTCACTATGTTGTCCAGGCTAGCCTTCAACTCCTGGACTCAAATGATCCTACCTCAGCCTGCCAAGTACCTAGGACTAAGTGCTACCATGCCCAGGTAGAGGTTGTCTTCTTTTATTCTCACTCAGTATATAAATATAATCTGCTATCATTGCTTCTTGGCCTTTTGGCTAAGATCAAGTGTATAATCTGCTATCATTCAACTGACATTTTTTATTTTTTTTATTTTATTTATTTTTTAATATTTTTTGGTACCAGGGATCGAACTCAGGACCTTGCGCTTGCAAGGCAGGCGCGGTGCCACTGAGCTAAAACCCTGGCCCTCAACTGACATTTTTGAGTTACTTATTTTTTTGAGGAGGGGAAGGTTGCTGGAGATTAAACCCAGGGCCTTGTGCATGCTAGGCAAGTGCGCTACCATTCATTTCCCATTTGCAAGACACAAATGAAATGCAACCACTCTCTATCCTACAAACTGTACAGATTAAAATAATAGCAAGTATAAGCTAGGCATGGTGGCACATGACTATGGTCTGTTATTCAAGAGGCTGAGGTGGTAAGATTGCTTGAGTCCAGGAGTTCTAGGCCAGCCTAGGCAACATAGCAAAAGACCCTGTCTCAAAAACAAACAAAGTCTGGCCTTGAACTCCCAGTGATCCTCCTGCCTCAGCCTCCTGATGCTGGGATTAGAGGCGTGCACCACCACACCTGGCTATATTAGTTATTTTATTTTTTTAATTTTTTTATTTTTTTGGTACCAGGGATTGAACTCAGGTCCTTGCATTTGCAAGGCAGGCGGCGGAACCACTGAGCTAAATCCCCAGCCCTTATATTAGTTATTTTAAACCTGGGTCATAAAATTTATTTTGTTATTATTGCTAAAGTAGGTTATTCACTAAAATATATTCTTTACATTTAAAATAATTTTTATAAACACATGAAAAACCATCTTTTTTGGGGGGGGGTTTGAGACAAGGTCTTGCTGTGTAGTGCAGGCTGGGCTCAAACTTGCGGCAGTTAGGCCAGGGGTTTGTTGAGCTCAGTGGTTCCACCACCTGCCTTGCAAGCACAAGGTCCTGAGTTCAATCCCCAGTACCAAAAAAAAAAAAATTGTGGCAATCCTCCTGCCTCAGCCTCCAGAGTGCTGGGATTACAGACGTGCACCACTACACCTGGCTCTAAAAACCATTTTATAAATGAATATCAGCAGTTTTTAAACTACATAAATATTCCCCCATCCTATTCAATTGTTAAAATGCTCAATTAAAAATCTATAATATAGCTATATAAATATAAAATAGTATCTATTAAAGTTGGTTTATTTGTGGGAAAAAAATCTACAATATAGCTTTGAGTAATCCATTTCCTAAGACAAGTCCAGGAACTCCCACAAGTTAAAAGAAAAGGAACCAGAGAGAAATCCTTACCAATAAGACCCCCGGGAGCAGCATACTGAAGATCATTATGTTCCGCAAAAAGTGATACAATTTTGGAGAAGATTGGTTTACACATGAGTTTTCCTTCACTATCTTTGGAAACAATACCAGGTCTGACTTCTATTTCCTGGCCCACCTGCAAACATATAATTAGTAAAGAGAATTACCATGGTACACAATATTCATTTACCTGTTAGGGTTCTAGCAGGGAGACCGTAAAACTGTAAAGGCAATCCTTCTCTTTCAAAAAATCACTCTTTTTGTTTGTGTTTGTGTGTGTGTGTGTGTGTGTTTTGAGACAGGGTCTCACTATGTAGTTCAGGCTGGCCTTGAACTTACTATGTAGCCCAGTCTGGCCTCGAACTCGAGGTGAACCTCCTGCCTCAGCCTCCCAAGTGCTGGGATTACAGGCATGCACCACCGTGCCTGGCGAAACGTCACTATTTTTAAAAAATGGAAAAACAAATGTGGACCAGATCTTCAAAATCAGAACTACTTAACTGTTGCTAACTACCTACCACAAAAGCCTGTCACCACACAAAATGTGTTCCACACTCCCAAGAAGCCTATAAACACAGCGGTCAGACAGACATACTCCACCACGAAAAATAAGTTGTGTGTGTTCATCTATGGCACTGGGGATTGAACCTAGGGCCTTTATTTTTACTGCTTTCATTTTAAGACAGGGTCTACGTTGCTAAATTGCCCAGGTTAGGCTCAAACTTGCAACCCTCCTGCCTGAGGCACCCAGAGTTCAGGGATTGCAGGTGACCACCATCATGCCCAGCAAAAACTTATTTTTCAATTTGGATTATGCATACTTTTTTCCTGATTAAGTCAAGGGCAAAATAGCCAGGCATGGTGGCACATGCTTATAATCCCAGCACTCAGGAGCCTAAGGCAGGAGGATCACTGTGAGCTCAAGGGTCATCCTGGGCTACACAGTGAGTTCAAGGGCAGCCTGAACTACACAGTGAGACCCTGGCTCAAATAAAACAAAACAAAACAAAAAAACACCTCAAAAAGACAAGGGCAAAATAAAAAAATGAATAACCCAAATCCAGCTTACCTTCAATACTCCCTTTAGGATACTACCACCAGCCACACCTCCCTTAAGGTCATCAACTTCACAACCAGGTTTGTTGACATCAAATGACCTAATGACTACAAGAAAATTAAGGAAATTAAAGTCATTTTTTTCCCCTGGTACTGGGGATCAAACTCAGGACCTTGCACTTGAGGCAGGTGCAGTGCCACTGAGCTAAATCCCCAGCCCTTTAAAGTCATTTTTAAAATTAATTTTAATTTTAGGTTAAATATTATTTTCCAATTCAAGTTTTCTAAAAAATAAATATTATTACTCTAATCTTTTTTTTTTTGGTACTGGGGATCAAACTCTGGACCTTGTGCTTGCAAGCCAGACATATTACTCTAATCTTTATTGCAGCCTTACCATGAGAAAAATGGAAATAACTTGAAAGTCATTAACAGATGACATATTATAGTATATCTGTACTAATGGACTATCATGCAGCAATTTAAAAACAGTAGTTATACAGCTGGGCATGGTAGCATATATCTGTGATCTCAGCATTCAGGAGGCTGAGGCAGGAGGACTGCTGTGAAGGCCAGGCTGGACTACAAAGTGAAACCCTGTCTCAAAACAACAAATGGGGCTGGGGATTTAGCTCAGTGGTTTTGCCACCTGCGCAAGCGCAAGAACCCGAGTTCGAACCCCGGTACAAAAAAAAAACCCCAACAACAACAACAAAAAAGGTAGTTATATATGTAATCATCTGGAAGAAGGACACTCATAATACCATTAAGGAAAATAAGAGTTACAAAAAGTAACATGTGTACTATAATTCTATTGCCAAGGGCAAAAAAACCCAGTAAAAATATGTATAGTTACCCTCCATATCTGAGGGTTTTACAACTGTGTTATTCAACCAACCAAAGATCAAATATTTTTTTTAAATTGTGTCTGTAATGAGCATGTATGTACTTTCTGTCATTATTCCCTATACACCAGCACTGTTTACACAACATGCATCTTGTATTAGATATTATACAGAGTCTAGAAATAATTTAACATATATAGGAAGGGAGTAGGGATATAACTCAGTGAGAGTTTGTTGAGCATGCATGAAGCCCTGGGTTCCATCACTAGCAATGAAGGGTTAAAAAAAAGTACACGTGAGGCTACGCATAGGTTATATGCAAACACTACCCCATTTTATATAAGGGATCCCTACATTACATGGCCTCTATAACGAAAGCTTACTTTTGTTTTTTTTGTTTTTTTGAGACAAGGTATTCCTTTGTAGCCCAGGCTGGCCTCAAACTCATGGTACCCCACCTGCCTCAGCCTCCTGAGTGCTGGGATTACAGGTGTGCACCACCACACTCTGCTAAAAAGTTACTTTTTTCCTTTTAAAACCACAACTCTAGGACTACGTATCTTGCGCTTAGGTCACC